TTTAAAAATACATTTTTAATTACTATGTTCAGTATACATTTATTTTACAAAAAACTTGATTTTTTATTTTTTTAATATAAATAGTTAGGTAATAAGAATGGTGTTCCGACTAGTATAAAATTTTATAGATATATAGTTCACTGTAAAATAAATCCATATAGAGTAAAATCTCATTCAGTTCAAGTTTAACAGGCAAAAAAATCCTGACTTCTAGTTAGAGTTTTGAATTAATGAGTTTAATTTTTCAGTGACCATAAACTTTCTGTTATCAAGTCACTTCTCAAGAATCTGTTTACAGAATGATTACAAAAATGTAAACAGTTCATGGCACTTTTGAATACATTGTCAAAGTGTCCCTTGTGTCCCATCAGATCACCAGTAACATACTATATCAGTATGAAATGGTGACATAAGGTTTTGATGGCATGGCATTGCATTTAGCATGGAGCCATAGTGTTTATCTTAATTAAATTATCTACATTTACATGGAATATAAGTGAAAATGAAGATCATGTACAGTATCTATCAAAGGGTAGAGGGTAAATGAAAAAACAATTTCAGTACTGACAGTTTTTACTTAACCCGTTACGTAAAAGACATTTTTGATATTAATGTAATTAAGCATAAAAAATACTTAAAACTGAAAAAAAACGAAAGAAATGCGTTAATTTTGAAGAAAAAGCTTCAAATTTTATTTTTCTTTGTCCCACCTTTCTGTGAAATTTGACGCTGATGAGTCATTGTTTACACAGCTGGATGACCTTGAACACAGCTGGTGTCGGATTTCCCGGGACATTCTCATAGAAGTCTCGGGAGGCGATGGGTTTATAGTAGGGTGAATACTAGCTGGCCGTATATTTTTAAATATTTTTAAAAAATTAAAATTTTTATTGCGATTTCCGACCCTCCAACTTAATTAAACGAATATATAATAAAATCTATTAATTAAAAAAATTAAAAAACTATTGGAGGTCGTTTTTGACATCAGAAACTAGCTTTAAATAACTTTACGGAAGGAAAATCCGTGCACTACAACTTTAGAACGATGAATGAAATTTGATATCAAATGCCCATTAAAAAACTATTAAAAAGCAATTAAGCGTGAAGCATGCGTCATTAAAGATAAATTAAAATCACGATAAATTTTTTCGCGCGGGAAAAAAATTTTGAAAAAATTTGGAGACTTAAAAAAACATTCTAAAAATTCAAAAAAGGACCGCATTTTATGTAACGCTACGTAACTTGCCCGAGATATCTCGGGATATGTCCTTAAGGGGTGAGACTGTATTATATATGGAAAACCTCCCATATACTGAGTTATATTCTTTAGACAACTTCAAGTTAATGCAGTTTGACTTAGTGAGGCTTACTGTATCATATAATTGCCATAACCATTATACTAACTAGCTTCAAATTATTCTAGCTTATAATTAGTCTTAAAAAAATGTTTAAAATTATAATAAAAGTATCACAGATGAGAATCAAAATTAGTAACAAGTGCAAGTATTTATTATTATTATTAAGTTTCTCCAATCCAAAGTTAATGTAAAAATTAACATATTGTCTAAACAGTAATTTGGAATATTGAAACAGATATACAAAGGTTATCTTTACACGAAATACTGAAATGTGTTTTCACCTCTTAACACTATATCCCAAAATAAAATAAGAATAGATTTATATACATTAAACTCAATTATAGGATAAAAATATATTCATGAACAAATAACCAGGGCATCAAAATAAAAAATTTTCAATTTAATTACAAAATATTTTGTTAACTTTAATTCATATCTACATAAATGAAGTAAAATAAAATTATGACAATTTTTTATAAGTAGCATAAATATGTAAATAAAATTTGTATAAAAGTTTACATATACGACTATTTTATTGGAAAAAATTATTTTCATTAAAAATACAATAGTTCAGTAAAAAAATTGATATGAGCATGTGTGTGTGTATGTAAATAATCAAGTATCCAAACATAGTATCATATTAGTTAAATATATTAAATATTTATCAGAACATTTTTAACATATTTACTATGATCTTTCAATTTCTAAAGATTGCAGTCAATTTTGTGAGCAGTTTTATGTTAACATATTTATATGATATTTTAAGGTTTTTTACATTTATACATTATTTATATTTTAAAGATAAATTATTTCAAAATTACACAAAATAATTACATTATAAATTGTATATTAGTGTTGAAAAATGTTAATTTTAACTTCTGATTAATGTTCACAGAATATACCCCTCAATTTTAATGCATTTTTATTTTAAGAGTAAGCTTAACTTATGCAAATTTTCATTTGATTAGAAGTTGTAAGAGTATAATCTATATGTTACTGTAAAAGCCCGTATATTGGTAAATCCTAGGTTTTACTAGTAAATCTTCGGATTTACCAACATGTAAGGATTTTTATAAAGTAAGATAATTTTCCAGGCTTTTACCATTAGAATTTGGTACATGCTAGGTTTTACTAAAGACGATTAGTAAATGTTGGTTTTGGAAATAAAACTATGAGTATTTTAATAATCATTTATTGCAATTATTATAAACTTACTAAGTCCTATTTATTAATAACTAGTGAAACAGTTTAAAAATACTTTTTAACGTAACAAAAATTAAATTATCTTGTAAAAAATAATATAATAGCCTACCGGGCTAAGCTAATCAATAATCACAGTATTTTTTCTAATCATTTGGTATTCATTGTCATTTAATAAAAAGTAAAAAAAGGATTTTACTTGTTACAACATGGAGAGCTATCATGGCATTTAGAATTATAAAGTAATCCTGATGACTTGCAAGCGCACTTCTTCGTTAGGCATTTTTTTAAGCAGTTGCACTTCTTGAAACCTTGTCCTCCAGTCAAAGACAATTTTGCGACAACTTCTCGAAGACTCACTTCTTTACCTTTAACAACTTCTTCTATCTTGATAAAGTCTTCAGGGCATGAAGTAAATTGATTTTGTGTATAAAGCTGCTTTAGTACTCCAATTTTGGTACCTAGTTGGTAAAACTCATTGTCCTTTACATCTACTACAACTGCAATAATGTTTTTCGGGTCAGTTTTAGCTTTGTCAATTTTAGGTATTTTCAGTCTTACATTTTGGCCAATTTTCACATTTGGATATTTATCAACAGACGTGGCTTTCATTTTTTCAGCTTGTTTTTCCAAATTCAATTTTGCGTTGTTTCTTATGGTCACTACAGATTCTATCTTTTTTGGTATTGGCTCTATAGTTACAAGAACTTCCTGAGACTCAATCATGTTTTCTGTCTCTGAATCGGTATCTCTCTGAATTGTTACATTGGAATCATCAGTTATTTGCTTTGCCTTCATTTACTCAGTAATAATCATTTCATCTTCTTGTGTTTTATCGTTGATAATGCTATTGTCTATATATCCCGTTCTGACTCATTTTCAACAATGCTTTCTTCCTTGTCCTGTTCGATTGCATTTTCGATGTCATTATTTTGTTCCACATTGTCATGTGAATGCAACAACTTCTCTAAATCATCTTCAGATCTTATAACTCTAATCATATCATTAGGGATTGCTGAAGTTGCAAGGCCCATTTTCATTGGACAACCAAACATTGCTTCGTAGGGAGAACATTTGATTCCCTCGTGATATGCTCTATTTTTCATTGCCTGGATGAATCTTAAACCCTCTGACCACTTTGATAACTGATTGGTTTACATCCATGTACTCAACGTATTTTCTATGTCTTGATTAGCACGCTCCGCTGATCCTTGACTTTGGCTATGTCTTGCCTTTCCATGTACGATTTTTACATCCGGCCACATGGAGCATAAACTCTCATAGTAATAACTTGGTTAGAGAATTCTCGACCATTATCAGAATGAAGGATGCTCGGTGCTCCAAAAGTGGTGAAAATATCCAAAAGATGGTACGCAACTTCTAAGGCGTGTTTAGTTTGAAGCGCACGAAGGATCACAAATTTGGTAAGATGGTCTTGGTAAACTAAAATAAATTTATAATTTCCATCTGGGGTAGTTTGTAGATCTATTTGATCAACCTGACAGCGTGAGTTCATTTCACAGTGAAGTATAGGTCTGACAACAATGTCTTTTTTCAAAGTCTTCTGTTTCTTTTGGCAAGGTTGACATAGCTTCATATATGTCATAGTAGCCTCAACTGTTACATTTTTATACTTGCGGTTACATTCCTTAAGCATCCATGTCCTTCCGTGGACAACAGCAACATGCATTTCTTTGAGAATATTGAATAAGTCCTCGTAACAAATGTAATACCTTATTTCTCCATCCTCCTCCTTCACAGGTGCAAGTAGTTTATCTTCGCCACCTATAGTCAAAATGTTGTAACGCTTTATATGCCTGTAATGAACAGCTTGTTTCTTTTTCATGTTCTTTGCAGCTTTTACTTCCTTCAAACACTTTGCGTATTTGTTCCTATTAAGATAAACGTTATTATCTTTCTTGCTTGCAATGAGCTCATCCATTATTTCATAAAATCTCCGTTTCATACTCATCTTGATTCATAAATAACTTTTAGACAATGAAATCTCAAACAATATTAGAATTAACGTGCGTGTTCTAACGTGTCAAACAATGAAATGAAGCGAGTGAAGGCGGCGATGCGGTGCGGTGCGGAAAGCGGGGACTAGTTTTCAACACCACTAGTTTTCACTAGTTTTCTTTTACCACAAAGATTTGGTAAATCTTAGGTTTTACTGGAAGATCTTAGGATTTACCATAGTTTGAGCATTTACAATAACATATATACCATATAAGAAATAATTCTAATTGATAAATTACCTATATAATGTATTTATTATTTCTTAAAATCTAAAGATAAATATATTAATTTGAAAAAACTTTTAATAAAGTCAAACTAGCCATTGCAATTAATTTAATAAAGTAAGCCATACACCTTTAAAGTTGGAGAAATACTAATGTATTTGAAGAACCATCTTCAGGCATAAACCTTACCTACAATTAAAGATGTATAGCTTACTTCATTTAATACAAATTTAAGAATATTGACTATTTTAGAGTTTCATATTTTTAATATTTATAATAATTAATAGAATATGATATTCTTACTAAGACATTTCTATCATTTTCAGCTTTCTTTCGTTTTTTAATTTCAACTTCCAAACAATGACTGAAAAATGAAAATAATTTATTACATGTTTAAATTAAAAATAAAATTTCATTAATTAGCATTAAACAAAATAACTAAGAATTATTATAATTAAACTACAATTTTGACAGGCCAAAAGGCATAGGCAGTTGGAGATTGGATCTGGGCAAGTCAAAAAACCCTAGAAATTTTTCAAGGGATAGTCTACCCCAGATGTGTTGGGTTCCATCTCTCATTACTTGGTTGCCCCATTGGTTTTGGCCAAACCCACAATGAACTTGAGAAAAATCCTTTTAATGCTCACAAGAAAAAATAAATTACATGTTCAACTACAAGTCAACTTTTGCACTTACAGTTTAAATTATTATAATAGTTCAAGAAGACTGAGTGGACACTCAGTCTTCTTGAACTATTATAATAATTTAGACTGTAAGTGCAAAAGTTTATGCAAAATCAGTCTGATAAACAGACAATTGTAAAATATTGGAACAATTTAAAACTTTAACATTTTCCCAGTACTTTGATTATAATTACCAATACATCACAATTTTATGATTAATATATTAAATGTGATGTTTTAATTCAAAAAAAAATTTATACAATAAAATTTGTATTAAAATTTTTAAGAGTGAAATATCAATAGAATTACAAAACAAAAATTGTTTTATTAAAATTTATACATATATATACTAAATAAATTATTAAATACCAAATTAGTCCAAATACCAAAGAAATAGGATTGATAATAAACAGTGCAACTGATAACACACATGTATGACAAGAAAAAATTGGTGTGGTACATTTTACATTAAGCCCACTAGGCTTGGGCCTAGGAGTGCAAAAGTTTGGAAAAGCAAAATTTCAAAATAATAATAATAAAATAATGATAAATAATTTTATGTAAAAACATTTCTTATTGCAAATTAAATGCTTCAGTAGAGACAAAATAAGATGTATCAATTGAGTAATATTAACTTATCAATATATTTTGAACAGTATGATAGTGCTAATGACAGCTCTTCAATAGCAGTGATCTTTGCTCTTTTTGTTCTGGTCCACTGTGGCTGAAACACATGCCAGCAATGCAAAGAAATTATCTGTTACTCAAAAAAATATTGATATATGCAAGATACATATTGTGTTATTATTTGTGATTTGTATTGTATTAATAACTTCATCACTTGCATTACAATTTTAGTGTCATTTCAGTTTGATTCAACCTGTATAAAATATTTGATTAAATCTATATAACAAAAATTATGTTTTACTGTATTAGTATCGTTGACAATAAATTTGTCTTTCATGATTCTGATATTTAAAAACCTGTAAAAATACAACTATTGAAGAATTAAAATTATAAAAATAGAATCATTTAGAGCAAAAATGGAACTACAGTCGACCCCCTATAATTACGGTCCCTATAATTACGATTCCTATAAAACTACGAAAAAATATACGTATTTTGGAAATGTTGAGTCGGATTAGTGTAGAATCGATTAATTTTATGGAAGAAAACCTTTCAATCAGCCGTAGTCCGTAAACTTGACACGTGTCGGGCTGTGATTGGAACGACTTGTAAGAAATCGGATTCCTAATAAATTGGAACGTATCTATATCTTATAGGGGGG